AGGGAGATCGAGACGAAGGCATCGCACAGGCTGAAATGGAACAGCGTGATGGTGATTGGCAGTGGCGTTTCCTATACGTAGAGACAAAACGGCGCCCAAAGACTACGCATGTTCTTATTGATAACCGATGAGTACATATGATCTGAGGATAAAGAACTAGTCGAGAGAAGTACTGATGTTAGAAAAAGGATTGTTTTACTGATATTGTTACTATGGCTGCTGCATCAGTTCACTATATTGTTTTGAAAATCTAGGCTGCCATTGTTTTCACAATGCGGGAAGCTTTGTTTGCCTCATTACATGCAAATAGTAACTGGTAGTGGTTTAGTATTATCAAATTTATTGTGTTTACTAAAGATGTATTCTCAGCCGTTTTCTCTATTCTCTTTGTGTTTGCAGCCATGTAATACATAGATGTTTTAATCGTTTTTTTTACTTCCAACTGATATTTCCAGATGGAAGATGATGGGTTTAAAGTAGTAAGGTATAAAAAAGGTAAGTCTAGGTTTAAGAAACTTGGGTATGAACCGGCTCAGAGAATAGCTGGATCGCTTGATGATATACGATTAGCGATTGAGAAAGCTGACGCTCAGATTAGGAATAGTGGACTGAGGTTTGTAATTGAGAGTCACAAGTTACATATTGAACAGTTCATGATTTCATTTTATTGTTCAAAATGTGAACGGTTTGATTGAGGTTATAAATATGCTACAAGTTCGAACTTTCCAGTACATGGATAATAATGAAGTTGAATCAAATTCTGGAAAACCGGAGAATCAATCATGTGTACGTGATCGGTAACGGCCACTTTGATGCACCTTGGGAACCTGGAACACATCAGCTAGCACTTGTTAAGGTAATATGTGACGAATATCGAGCGGAAATGACTTTTCAAGTGAGTGCGTGCTTTTTCTTCGGTTTGTTCGGTTAATGGTTTAGAGAGCAGATGTGTTTTTCCAACTTGCTCAAGCATTCTCACAAAACAGAGTCTTTGTTGGCGATGTTTTTTAACTAGAAAGAGATACTTAGTTGATTGATCCAAAGGATGTGCAGCTTAAAACGATTCCAATACGGTCTTCCATATCTGCCAAAAATTTTTTTGGCAAAAGTTAGACGCTCTGTATGAAGATATGCAGAACTTACAAAAATGTTCAAATTTCATTTTTGAGCTAATGTAGCAACATCAAAGCTGAATTTTAGTGTAACAGGTTTTATTCATCAGTAAGAGCCCTTCTAATGCTGTTTCAGATGATTATGATTTTTGAAGCAAATACCGATGTGTCGTACAAGACATT